GCTTTCGACAAGCCCCTGTCTCCCCACTTTTTCTTCTCTTTTATCCTTTCTATATGCATCAAAATATCCTAGTATTTTATTTTAAGTACTTTCCTTGGCAATCAAATAGAATATTAATAACATTTCACCCTAATTATCGTTTGTTTAATCTCTCTTCCTCCCTCTCTTTCATCATTTGAAGGAAGTTGCACGTTTCATGGCCTTTTACTTGAAAATATGTTGATCTTTAATTCCTAAGAGTAATGATATTCTCTTATATAACCGCAGTAAAATTCTCAAATTCAGTTAATATTGATATTGTACCATTGATATAATACTTTAAAGTAATACATGTCCACATTTCAACTTTGCCTCCTGACCAGAAAGCATTCCTGTGGAGCACTTTTACCTCTCCAGTACAGCGTCAGTTCTAGGATGAGGATTGCATTTGGTTATATCTCTTGAGACTCCTTCAGTCGGAATCATATCAGAGCCTCTTTTTGTCTTCCAGGATATTGGTAATTTTGAAGAACACAAACCTCCTTGTCCTTTCTTTAATTGAATGTTCCTCTTTTTGGATTTGCCTGATGTTTCCTGATTAGTTTTAGATTAATGATCCCAGGTAAAAATGACACATAGGTGAACTTTTTTCTTTCCGGGAATCAAATCTGGGGATATCTAATAGCCATCTGTCTTTCACTGGTGATGTTAATTTTGAAAATTAAAACAGCAGTCAAGATGTTGCTCGATTTTCCACTGTAATGATTCTTTTTGTTCTCCCTTGCAAGTAATAAGCAGTCTCTGAGAGCCATTTTACAACCATGTAAATATCTTGCTCCACATCAAAAACCCTCTCCTAGATTTAGCATCTATTTGTGATTTACTTGATCCAATCTTTACTGTCTTGTAAGCAAAATGATAGTTTTCCAACTCCCACTCTTTCTACAAAAATTTACTATTTGGTTCTCTGCATCCTAATATAAATAAGGACTAGATCTTCTCCCCTGTTTACTATCTATTTACTATTGATATAGACTCATGGATTATTACTTTGTTCAATAGCTTATAATTCATTACTCTGCTTAGTTATTTTGATCCTCACATTTTCCCAGATTGAGTCAAGATTTTACTCTTGAAAGTCTAGGCAGACTACCCTCCAGGGCAGAGCTGGCCTTCTCAAGAGGAAAAGGCGGCCCTAATCAGCAATGAAGCCTCAGTGGCAGTTGAACCAGAGCTGGCCTGCGATCCTAGACCAGCTAGACTGCCATCAGTGAGCAAGCAGTCTACAAAGTGTTACCCAGATGCCAGGTAAACCTCTCCCAGTCCTAACCGCAGGCAGGGCAGCACATGCTCAAGCAGCCTGTTCTGACAGTGCTAACAAGCCTCTTGCTTCAGTCTGACCTGTTGTCTGCTTGATCCCACCTGAGTCTCACCTGAACCTGCTTGGCCAACCCAGCCCTCCTTTCATCTGAGACTGAGAGGAAATTGAGATTATTCATGGTACTGATGGTGGTCTCCCAGTGTCTCTGAAGTTCCCCCCACTTCACTGCCTACCTCGTTTTCTTCCTGGCCCATCAAATCACCCAGGAATTAAAGACCAACATATTTAGGAGTAAAAGGCCATGATGTGTGCAACTTCCTTTAAATGATGAAAGAGAGAGAAGGAGGAAAGGAAAGGGAGAGAGATTAAACAAATAATAATTATAGTAGAATGTTAGTACCATTTGAATCTAGGTTAAGAATGTATGGATGTTCTTTATACTATTTTTATTCTTGCTAATTTTTATATACATTTGAAATTATTTCCAAATGAAATTTACAGTTGCATAATATATATTATTAAGTTTTTTAAAAAATCTAGTACAGTGTGTTCACTTGCTCTCTCACTTGTTAAAAAATACGTACAAACACTAAGACACACACATACTCATTAATATGCATGAGAGTGTCCGGAAAGATACATAAAACAAGAAAATGTTATTGACATTTGCCTCTGGGTCAGGGACTGTATAATGGATGAGAGAGAGAGACCTACTTTTCACTATACAACTTTTTTATACTGTCTGAGTTACAAAAAAAAAAAAGCAAGTACTTTTAAAATGAAAATAATAGTTTAATTTAATTCAGTTTCATACATAATAATACAGAATTGTTTTGTGTACCTTAGTCTAGGCCCTAAAAATATAATGAAAAAGATTTATTTTGAATCTAATGCCCTCAAGTAAATCATATTCTACTTGGAAAGAAAAGGGATAAGATCTTCTATTCAATGAAGGAAGGTAAGAGAAATATGCTGTTATTAAAATGAAATAAAGAGAACAGAAGTACAAAACCTTAGTTGTACATCTGGATCTCCGACTGTTTTAATTGCACCTCAGTTAAAGCATTTATACTTTATTCTTCTCACTTAGTGAGAGATTGAGTAATATTTTCCCCTCTGCTCTCCATATAAGGGTGTTCTAAGGATTAATGAGATCATTTTTATGGAGATTCTTGGACTTCAGTTGGAAAGGATATGAAATACAAATAAATAATATTATTAATGTCAGCTATAAAACATACTTCTTTGAAATAAGCTCAAGTGCCAATGAAAGAAAGGACAAAAGAAAGGATGAAAGAAAGAAAGAAGAGAAAAAAGAAAAAAAGAGATATAAACCTTCTTATATTAACTTCTTAAGACTTTCACCTGCTCTCTGGAATATCTGTGTAATTTGACACTTTACAGCAAATGCAGTCATGTTCCTTCCTCCGTGGGCTTCCAAGAAGGCATATTTTTGTGTTATCAAGGCCAGATTTATTGAGACATCCAAAAAGTGATGACTTTGGGACAGTAACCTTGCAGTTATTCCCCTGAGATTGAATCAAAGTTTGCTGGTGTCTCTGACAACCCTTTTTGAACACGTCCAGTTTTAATAACACAGTTGGTGTGAAACACTTCCTAAAGGAAAAAGAAAGACAAGAACACCAACAGAATACCACTATATAAAAACAAAGTTAAAAGATTGTGTGTAGAAAGGGTGTTAAGGGTCGACCTTTAAGATCACAAAAGAGTAAATTCCAAGTTTGAAGTTGAAATCTGGGTCTTAAGAGTTTCCCACTGTACCGTATACTACTGCTGTATTGAACAATTTTTTAATGTTATTCTGATAGCCCCAGAAAGCATGAGGTCTACTATAAATGAATATTTTAGACTTTTACTATTAACACTATGCTTGCATAGTACTTTTTTTTCTCAAAGACTTTCACATTTATTACCTCATTTGAGAGACTTTGCTGCTTGTTCAATGGCCTTTTCATTAAATCACATCATCTCTCTAGTAACTTTTTCATTCCTCTTGTGACTGAAAAGTACACCTTAATTGTAACCATAAATAATTCTATGTGTTATTATTGTGCTGGATAGAATATTGATTATTGAGCATAAAGGCTTAAAAATTCGAAGATGGCATATGATACAGATATAGATCTGCTACCAAGCTATATCTATGCTGTCCAGGTTTTCCCTCACAATTAGAGCTGTCCCTTCAGCAATAGCTTTGTAACTACTGACCCTGAAACTGCATAAGCTGACCTCAAATAAACTCTATAACAGTGTAAAATGCATGCATCCACATTTGCCTTTTTTATGTTTTGGAAAATTTGAAGATTGGAATAGAAAACACCCAATACTGTAGCAAAATAAACAGGGAAATTATGAAGATGTATAAAATAACACAAGGTAACAGTAACTCAAGACAACTAAATTCTTTCAATCATGGATTATTCTTTTCAAATAGCTCAAAGCATCTCTTCTGTGTCCAGACTTTTGTATTACTTAATCACGTAAGTAATTACTTAACCAATTACTTGAATGTGAAGGTTGAATGCCAGAGGTAACAGAAGTGGTCAGTTTAATAGGAGCAAATTTATCCTGGAAGCATGAGTCTAAGAAGTATGGTTATCTTGATAAATAATTGCTAGTTTCCCAATGAAGAGGCTTGCTCATCTTCTGCCAGCACATCGTATCGTTCAGTGACAGAGGCTGGGAACACGGCGGCAGGGGAAAGATGAGGCTGGAGCGTTGGCAAGGAGGAAAGAAAATATTACAAAATGCACCTTGTAAAGCCCTGTATGAACTATGTGTTGTCATCCACATGAAGGAAGAAGTCACTGGAGAGTTTTAGTTTTATTAAAGGAGTGAGAGACACATGTTTAGATTTTAGGGGAAAAATCCTTTTTGATTCACTGTTACTGCAATAGAAGTAGACAAGTTTAGAACAGAGATGCCAGTCAAGTGTATGTTCAGAGTTATGGAGGAAACAGGTGATGTGGTCTGAACCTTTATGGCATGTGGTGTGGGGCCGGGAGGAGTAGAGAAGTAGATAAATTCGAGCAAGAAGGGTCAAAAGGATATGCACTATTCACATGAACTGGAGTGCATGAGAAAGACCTGTCCTGGGAGGCAAAAGGATATAAATAAACCTCTGGAAATGGATTATATACCACAGCAATTTGAGAAAAGAACTAAGGACTGGTTTTTCAAAAATATCAACACTTAGGAAAGGCAGAAGGAAATAAACAGACAGCCCAAATGAGGAGACAGGAAAAAAAAAACCTAAGAGAAGAGTCATATAATTAGAGTTAAGAGAAAAGAATAGTTCATGGAGGTGGGAGGAGGCGATGGTGTCAGTGTAGTACCCGTTCATGTGAGAGGAAAAAAATAACAAAAACGCAAACTGGGAAGTGCCTGTCAGTTTTAGCAAAAAGGAGGTCATTGGTGACCTTGGGAATAGCAGTTTTAGTGGAGTCTTGTGGGAAGAATACAGATTAGCAGGGGTTTAGGAATGAATTAGAAGTAAATTAGGGGAGACAAAACCGAAGCAACTAATGTGAAGGGAGAAAGAGAGGGAGTTAAGTAGAGGGGACAACTGGTGTCTGCCAAGAGCTCTGGACTGATGTATGTGCTGTCAAGAGCTCTGACTATGTACCCAAGAACTGTCAGCACGAACTGGGACTTAAGCTTACATATACTGTTTACCAGACACAGATTGGTACCTATTTTGCATTTAGAATGATACTTAAACCACAGCAGCGTGCTGACTCAGCAAAGTGATTCATACTTGATGGAGAGTTGCCCTCAAGTGTGCACGCAAAGTGCCACGTTAGGCGCCCAGTCATTCTTCAATAAACATTCACCTGACATGGTTAAAGGACCAGGTCTATTCATCTTAGGTTGCCTATCGCTTTGTGAAAATCAATTCGCATCTTTGGTTTTCTTTGCTTGTAATTTTTTTTCCCAAATGATGTGTCTCTAGCCGTGTAAGTGTTGGTTTGTAAACTGCTCTCTTACACAGAGGAATGGGAGAGAGTGAAGAAAGAGTCAGACCACTCCAGATTGGTAGTGGCAGTTTTAATAAGCAAGGGAACTTACTTACAAGGCTTGTCTTGGGTGGCCATAAGACACGTAGATCTCTGTTCTCACCTGCCAGAATCTTATGCATTTGTATAAAAGCCTTAACTGGGCTGAGTCTTGTATATCGTCTGAATGGACTCAGCACCACAGTGCTCTCAAGGCTGCATCTTTGGGCCGGTACTATCGCGGGGAAGGCAAGTGAATGCACACTCCAAGGACAGGGGAGGGGATGAGGAGCCTCTGATGGTCTGGGTCCCGCTTGAGGGTCAGCTGGCAGTCGTGTCCTCTTGATGACCTCCTCCAACACTTTACCCCCTCATGATCGGCTCTTACATTTGTATATGGCCCCCTCTTCCGCCCTGTGCCCTGAGCTGTCAGCAAGGGGTTTTACTAGCATGGAGGTGGCTCAGTTTGTAGAACTGTCTGGCTGTCTTGGAGGCAGATGTCACAGCAACAGTGTAGACATATGTAAGAGAAAACACATCTAGGTAATGATTTTCGAAATAAGTAACAATATTTTTTTTTCACTAAGAGCCCCATGACCCAAACCACTGACTTATTAAGTCTCTTAGATTGGGGGTCAGATCACTCATGGCATTTACTTGGATTTTTATGTGATTTATAAAGATGATACATTAGCAGACTTACCAGGCATGAACAGATAATATTCTCTTTGGATAAAGGCACAGGTGCCTCCTTGTGAGGTAATAATAATGTCCAAGGCCATTTTATTTTGGAGGAAAGCTTTTTTTTTTTTAATTAGTGACATCTCAATGTGCAGTATGAGCAGGCTTTGTTGGCTGTCACTTGAGGCTTGCTGAGGGAAGTTAGTAAAGGCTTGCTTGTGGTCGGATATGTCCTCCAGGCCAATGGAGGGGACCAAAACAGCACCCAAATGATTGTACCGGTGGACAACTGAGTATGTCCACCTGTCCTTGAGGAGAGGGAGGTTGGCAGCTTTAGGAACTTGACTTGGTTGTGCATATTATAAATGTTGGCCGGTGGAGGCATGACTGTTGATCAGGCTGGGACCTTCATTTTCTCCCCTCTTTCAATAGTGCATGTTCCAAGTTTCCAGTGTAATGCATTTTAACTGGTCTGGCTTGCAGCAGGACAATGGGATACCAGTGAAGACTGAGTGGTTTCCTCTCACCCGGGGGTGCAAAGTAACTCACTCATCTTATTGGGATGTCTCATAAATTCCAGTGGATAATGTCTCTCAGGCAGGATGGGGCTTGGTGTTTTCAGCAGCGTAGCACGTTGATCCGTGGTCAGAGTTGGGGCAATGTCTGTTTTTGGATGATTTCCATACCTTTATGGCAGTGAATGTTTTGGCAGGGGCCCCCAGTCTAGCATATGGTTCAACAGGTCCCACTGGCTGAACATTCAGATGTACTAAAGCCTGGGACAGGACTTTAGTCTACTTGGCCAAAGTGCCTGTACCTGTTACTAACTCAGTCTGCTGCTTTAAGATTCCATTTTTCTTTCCACTAACCCTACTGCTTGCAAATTACAGGAGAGATGGAACCTCCACTCAGTGTCATGTTTTTCTGCCCTATCTTGCGTATTATGACCTTTGAAACGTGACCCCAGATTATTGTCTATTTGATGAAGTTTTCTGTGTATAGTACTCAGCATGTCTAGTCTTGTAGTAGTGGTAGCCTGGTTTGTGTGGCAACAGGGGAAAGTTTGCGTTAAGCCAGATATGGTGGCTCACCCTAAACTTTGCACACAAACCAGGGCATGTTTAGAACCCTCCATCAGAGAACAGAGGACAACCTATTCAATATGCCAGTCCCTCTCCGGTTGGGAACTCCAGTGGATAGCCGTACTCCTTTGGCAGTTATCTTGTACGTTGTTTAGAACGCACAGGGCATGCTGTTACTGCATTAACCAAGATACTGTGTTTTAAGGACAATCTGTCCACCTTCCAATTCACCATTCTGTCCAGGCACTAGAGTGGCCGTTCGGCCTGTGCTCCCAATCTGCTGTATCTAGTGGAGAGTCGATTGCTAGGGCTCATAGCCAGGCGAGGGCATCAGCTTCCTGATTGCCAGGGGCTGTCATTGCCTTATGAGCCAGTATGTGGAAGAGAGTGAGGACTGCTTTAGGCTCTTGCAGGTGAACCCGAATGTCTTCCCATATATCCTAACCCCACCAGGGCTTATTCATGATTATCCACCCTTCACCTTCTCATTGCGTAGGCCATAGGATTAATCCTTTTAGAACAGCTCATCAGTGCTAGGGGTTAATGACCAGGGCTCATGAGTGATCACCAGCTAAACTGCTCTGAGTTCAGCCCATTGGCTGTTGTGGTTCCTTCTTTCCTCCAGGCATCTGTATATCAGGCATCAGTGAGGATTTCTCCCATTCTCTCTCTATAGGCCATAGGGGCTGCCACAGGAATAAGGATGGGGGCATTTGGAGGCTCTACGTACTCTTCAGGGCCTAGTGGCACCCACAGTTTTAGAGAGAATGAGCTGGTGGACAAAATACTCCTTTGCTGCAAGTTGGCATGCCACTTAGTCAAACTGGGAGTTTGGGCCATGGCAGAAGTGAGTCAGTGGAACATATTCTTAAACCACCCATTGATGAGAAGGGAAGTTCTTACCATGATACGCTGCTCCTTTGGGAGAGACTCTACCTGGAGGAGCACTGCATACCCTGCTAGGAGCTGTTGCTGTATGGGGTATGTTGGGGTTTTGTCACCTACCAAAGCTGAAAGCAGAATCTTAGGGGTGCCTTCACCTGTTGTTGTCTCTGTCACAGTGTCCAATCCATACCTTCCAGAGTCACAGACACATCAAACAAAGATATTCCAGCAAAGTCTGCAGCATTACCTGCAGCAGAGGCAAGTCTTCACCTGTTAGCATTATATCATCAGTGTTATGGGCCCTTTTATTGGATATGGAGAAGAACAGGGATAGATCTTGGGTACCCATCCCATGACTTACTGTGAGGCTGTGTAGGTAGCCCTGGGGAAGTGATTGAAAGGTCCATTGCAGTCTCTGTCACATGATCTTAGATTTTAGAGACTTAAACTTGCCAGAATCTTTTCCTTGAATCTCCTTGAAGATGAAGCACTTTTGTAGGAATGCTTTTCAAAAGTATCAGAGTAAAACACTAACTGTCTGTAACTGACAGAAGACTTAAAAATGGCCGTGGGTAAAGATCTCCTGAAGGTTCATTATAATGCAATTGACCAGGGAATCTGATTTTTTTCCTATGACCTACATTTTAAAATTATGACTGATAACATAATACCAGGATATACCAGATTTTTAGGAATTTTATATAAACATATTCTAAAGAAAGTTTAGCATTATTCTTATTTGACAATATTCATCATGTAATTTCACTGTTATATGTTAATAGTTATGTCATTATTCTCCAAACTTAAAAGAACAGCCATCAGAAGAGTTTATGTTTAAGGGTCCCCTAGCACAGATTAATTACAAGAAACCAGTATATCAACCCAAAATTGCACTGAGATACTAAGCATTTCTTATTCACAAGTTATACTCATCAATATGCATATATTCATACATATGTTGGATTGTATAGTATATATTAGACAAGACCTTTTGCCTATCCAAATCAAAGTTAAAAGTGGAAGAGATAGACCCATAGTAGCAGTTTGAAAATAAGAGAAATAAGATTATGTGGTGATAAAGAAATTTTTTAAAAGCGTGTTTCAGTTTCTTTATATCTCTCTGTGGCTGCCTAAAATCAAATTCCCATCACTCCTTCACTTGACTACTCTAAATAGTTTTCCTGCCTTTATTACCTGCCCATGTAAGCCATTCCCCTCCTAGGGGTTTGAGTGATCTTTGCAGAAATTAATCAGGTTGTGTTGCATCCCTTCTTACGTTCCCGTTGCATCATGTGTTGTAACCCACTCTTCCACAGGCTCCCAGGATCTGCATCCTCTACTCTTGGCCCCACCTCTGTGATCTCATTTCTGACTCGTCTTCCAATTACTCTCTCTATTCCAAATGTATGGAATTTCTGTCTGTTTCTGTAACTCTCCAAGTTCTCTCTCATCTCTGTATCTTTGCATTTCTTGTATCCTTTGCCGTAGACCCTTTTCCTTCTGCGCTGCGTTTGTCATTCTCTGTTCACATCAAATCACCAGAGAAGCCTTCCCCTAGCAACCCCCATCTAGATCCCCTATTCTAGTCAGTTCTTATCACATTATCCTGTTTTGTTTTCTTCAAAATACTTGTCACTATCTGATTTTTATTTACAATCCATCTCTAACCACCTTTTGAAAGTTTTATGAGAGTAGGAACCTTGTCTGTCTTGTTCATTGCTTTATTCCCAGTGTCTAGAACAATATTTGAAACATAGTATATGCACAGTGAATATTTGCTAAGTGACAAATGCACATTTCTTTCATTTGAACCCAGTGGTGTCTGATTCTAATGTTGGATCAAATTGCATCATATTGGTTTCTTGTGACTAGATTCTGTGACTTCAGAGGGTCTTCATGATTTACCTTGATTTCCTAAACCAGGAAGAACTCCATACTAGATTTTGAATAATGGGGCAGGGGTTGTTTTTCATGAGAATGCTGATTTATAAGGTCCCCCTACAATGCATTCTGGAGTAAGTTAAGGTATAAATATATTTCAAATTATAAATAATCCATAGAAATATGGATGTCATCTCTGTCATTCCTTTTCCTGAAAACTGCATTTTGTATATGTAAGTTTGTATGACTTAATTCCATGTGTTTTTTTTTAAATCAATTTCTGGCCCATTTATGGTTGTCTCATAATGAAAAAAGCAAGATCCTTCAACAACAAATGGCATATCTCAGCATCCTCCCTCTTGTTCAACAATACACACACACATACACACACCTGCAAAAGAGTATTTGCAATAAACTTAGTTCATTAGAGACTGTTGTTGGATACAAATTTGTAATAAAGAATCTATAAGTTAGAAATAGGAATCTTCAAAAAACTCTTCTCATACAGGCAAAACCCACAGTATAAAAACCCAAAATATAGGAGAAAAGAATGTAACAGATCAGAAATATAATTCTCCTTTTAAAAAGAGAATCGGCTCTAATTTAACACAAAATGTAATTTAGGTCACAGAGAACTGAAAATGTATTTAAAAATCAGGTGTGGTACTTCAAATGCATCCCTTTGTGCAGACAAGACAACCAAATTTGTAAGCTTTTAAACTAAACAATGAGCTTTGGTTAACTGCAAATCAAATTGAAACAAAGTACTCAAGTAAGACTAAATTTAATTACACTCCATTCTCCA